TTCCAACCACTAACATTCTGTAATTCTGTGATACTACTACAGTGACACCAAAATAACTAGGGGGGTTTGGCAGAGCAGAGAAAAAATTATATTTAAGAAAACATTTTAGTTTTAATAAAACCAGTAAGCCAGTTTCTTAAAGGTGGGAGAGTGAATTTTTGTAAAAGATTATCCAGCATGACAGCTCCTCTAACTCGCACATTCCAATGACATATCAAACCAATCCACGTTGCACTGAAACATTTCTGTGGCCAAGAAGCTTTCACTATTTCCAAGCTTTTTCCAAGATTATAGACAGTGGAAACCCCAAACCACCAAAGTCTCCATAAGACCACAAGAAAAAAAGGAAGAAAATACCACCAAATATCTTGTTCTCAATATTGAGGTGTGTTGGTAATGAAAAAAAAAAAAAAATCCAAATAACTTGCAAACAAAACCAGTATATCATCATTCTACACTATTAATTTGAGCTTGCTTAATATAGCCTAGTTACTAATTTCTTTATGAGAAATGAGAAAATAAGCAAAAAAAACCCCAAGCACTAAGCATTATGTAACCCAAGATGCACAAACCTTTCATCCTTGGACTGCTCAATATCTGATCTCAACATGGCTACCAGATTCTCTCCTTCTTGGTTTTCTCTGTCCCGCTGCTGAAGGAGTGTCTCCAGTTCAGAGTTGGTCTCCTCTATTTCATGGTTTAAAGACTCTACTCTCTTCTCCAGCTGTGGAAAACACAGTAATAATGCAACAAAGTCAATCATTTTGACCAAACTACAAACTTCTGCCCAATGATCTTACCTTTCATCACTTCACATATTCACACCATCATCTGCTGTTATGCAACTTTGCTTCTACAAGTACAAGAAATAAAGGACAGCAGAAAGACTAAAAATGAATGGTTATTTTTTTTTTAGTTCTCTTAATTTGATATTCATTTTGCTTCGGGGAGCTGCCTCACTTGCACTCAAACTCAGTGCACACAAGCAATGCAAAAAGCTTGTAAGAACTTCGCACCATACTTTAATTTGCTTTCATTGTTATTCATTGTCAGGCTTCAAAGACACAAAGCAACGTCTAGCATAAATTTTGACGTTGTAGCATAGAAATCTGAACAGCAACCTGATACAGTTATCATAAGTGCCAGCCAACTTTGCTTTACAAGCTCTGCTTGAAAACAAGTCTTTTCTCCTCATATTTGTAAGTTCAGATGACACCTCCCTCCCATTAAACCAACAAACAACCCCAACAAACCACATGTGTATATATATGACCACCCTGACCCTTGGATTTTGCTGCCGAACAGATAAGTCCTATTTTGTTAGCAACTTTGTCTCAAAAGTAAGCCAACAAATTAGTCAAAATATCTATTTTGGAAGAAACTTCAAGGAAAGAAATGCATTATACTCCCCTGCCAACCTTCTCACCTCTCAAAATCCTGCATGAAAAGCAGGAAACAATGCATCTACACTTCTCAGTGTAACTCCCAATTTTCCCACTCAACAAAGGCCTAACAGAACAATCCAATATACCACATTCACATATTAGTCAGAGCTTTCTGAACTGTGCAGAGAAACCAAGAATATTTCATTTTATCTTCTATTTTGAAAACTGAAACCTATTCTTTCAATAACTGAAAGAGAAATTGACATTTCTAAGCTTCCTAATTAGAACAGATACCTTTTTCAAGCTGTTCTTCTCCCTTTAAAGATTTCTGAGTAACATAGATTCAACTTAGATATTTGCTATACAGGAGGCATAACATTTTATTTTGTTTGGCAAACTAGTATTATCTTTGCCATTTCTGGATCCAAACTTCCGCTTTCCCTGCCTTACTTCCTTCAAACTATACCTGTTAGTCCAGCAAAAGCTACTAGAGCACTATTTTTTTCACAAAGAAAAATGTAAGAGATACAGATGGAATCAATGCACAGATGACCAAGGCAAACATGCAGCCTTCTCTTATAAAGCAGTGCTAATCTCCCTGAGAAATGACTGAAGATCAGTTTTCAAGTTGATGCCCATTTTCAGTTTCTATGCTACTGCTATAGCATCCCACCTAAGAGATGGAGCCCATCATACATTACACCTTGAAAACTAGTGATCACAAGAATTATCCACACAGTCCCTCATATTGAGAAAGTTGAGATCACTGTGCTAAAATACAGCCAGAAACTCTCATTTAAAATTTATTTTAAAATATTTTCCACGCACCTGGGTAATTATTGCCCCTTTTTCCTGCAGCTCGGCTGTTAACATCTCTTGCTCCTTTTGGTGAGCTGCTTGAGCTTTCTCCCTCTCTTGAATCAACATCTGCTCCTTGTCATGTAGTGATGCCTTTTTTTCAGCTTCAAATTCATCCTGCATAAGTCACATATGTCAATTTAGAGAAAGGAAAAAAAAAAACAAACCCCATAATTAATGCCAAAAAAACCTACAACCAAAAACCTCCCTCCCCCCCTTTTTTCTCCTTTAAATGTGCACTCCTTACCTCCCATTAACCATCAGTAACTTACACAGTTAACACCACCACATCACCAATCAAAAAAATTATGCCAAAACTTTAATTTAAAAATAGGTAAACAGATAAATGAACTATCTGAATGTGTTCACTGAGATGTGGATCATTTCACACTGCTGAGACAGCGATGAGGAACAAAGAACAGATGGACAGAAGCCACTTTCAGCAACAGCAGGCAGTACCACATGCACAGATAATAGAAGCTATTAAATTGGATCTCACCTCAGAGTGCCCTAACACACTCTAAAGGAAGGGATATTAGACAACCTCCACTTGTGCATTAGCAAATAAGGGAGGTGAAACCAAGTCCTGGGATCCCTTCCCAAGCAGGCAAAACCCCCTCAATTAGTAATTGCTCCTGCAACACCAGAATTGCAAAACAAGTCTTCTTGACTACAGTATAAAAATACCTCCTGCAATTTGATCTGTGAATGCCAATATACTCCAAGGAGATAGCTGGGTTTTTTTGATTGTTATGTCAAGAAAACAGTTTTTCCCCAGGGCATGAAATAATACCTCAAAGCAGAACTAGTCTCCTGAGCTGTCCTGGATCCTTTGTGGAAGACTCAGTCCTTACAGTGAGTAGACTCAAACAGCAGAATGCTTAGCAGTTAGCAAGATACAAATGACAGACACAAAAGAGTATGAGGACTTTCCTTGACCAATACAAGACATTTCTGAACAAAATGTTTGAACCAGCCTGCCTGTTCTCCTCAGAAGCAGTGCATCCACTAAAAGAGTGTGGCAGGTTGGAGAAAGGAACTCTGAATTAACTAAAATCTGCTAAAGGAGGCAAGGGAAAAGAAAACTAAGAAACTGGCTGACATGAAGAGCCATAAAGGAGCACGGGGAAAGCAGGCAGGAGAAGGCTTGTAAAAGCCTGTATCAGACCAGGACACAGCCCAGCCTGGCACTGCAAAGATATCCATTCAATCTCTGCTGGAACAAAACCAGACATCAAGTTAATGAGAAAAAAGGAACAAACCCACCAGAGACAGCCTGTACTAGCAGTAGAATGACCTCTGGCAAAATCTAAATGAGAAGAGAGGTTTCTAGTGTTCCAAATGCTAGCCAAAGCACCTAGGCAGCACAAGACGAAGAAGAGCAGGAATCACTTCTGGGATATGTGCGTAACAGTCAGTTTAGCCCCAGCTTCTGTGGACCAAAGGCTGGTTCAGCCAAGGACAGCAATATCAAGTACACCTCCAGCAGCTTTTCAGGATACACTTGTGTCCTTTGTTTCAAAAGGCAGTTGCACCATGCAGAGCTCAGAGTGACCAGGGCTCCACAGAGAGGCAGGAAACAGGAGAAACTTTCTGCATAACTGCAGCATTCAGTTCTAGGGGTTTGTGCAACTGTTAGGCAGCATCCCACCTCAAGCTGCAGCACTGAAGTGAACAGTAGTGATCTAAGGGAAATGCTAAAGAGAAGCAAATATGGAGATGGTACCTGATTTCATCTATGTTACTTGTGCTCAAAAAGTTGAGCTAATTAGGTGCTCAGCACAGTGATAACACTGAGATGAAAGTAAGCACTGCTCTGAGTGTGTCAGCAAGTTTCCGTGTCTCATTCTAACACAGGATGTGTCTTCTCCATTCATTTAATAGCTTGACATGTACTTGTCACCTAACCCATGAAGGCATTTTGCACAAGACTCTGAAGATGACAGGCAATCACCACATTGTACACCGTGGAGGAATTTCTGGGGGACAATGGACACAACTTTATCTCTTGGGGAGTGAACAATCCAGGCTATAGTGCCAAGGCATACGTGACAGAACAAGTGTAGAGTGTTCCTGAGGCGTCCTTGAAGGGCTAAAAGAAGGAACACGGGTGCTATTGTAACAGTTTTTGCTGATGCTCAACAGCATGATAAAAACTACAAAGCAGGGTAGAGACTTGGCCGAAGCAGTGCGCATGACATCCAGTTTGCTTGGAACGCGTGAACCAATGCTGAGTATACGTTAGGCACGTGGACAGCTTGAAACAGTGTATGAGCTGAGCTCTTCAGGCAAATAAAAGAGAACGATCATAACCACATCGGTGTACTGTCGTTACTTGGGGCACTTGCCATGAAGGTCCTTTCTACAACTGGGCCCCAAACAGGGACCCCAGACAACGAGACAGCGTGGAGAAGCCTGAATGCTGACGAACTCCGAGAGCTGCTCAGCACCTGGATGCAGTAAAACTCCACAGCGTCGCAGGGCTGCGACACCGGGAGCGCGGCGAAGAGATGGCGGAGGCGGGCACCAACTGAACGCGTCAGGGCCTGGCGTGTGGCGCTGCAGGGCAGCCCTTCCGCAGAGGTAAGGCCGCGATGGAGACAGACGCAGCAATCAGACTGCTTGCCAGTATACTCTCGAAGAGAGAGGAAGATGCGAGTGTGAAAGAATTAGAAGCCCTTATAAAGTGGGCACGAGAAAGAGGTCGGTGTGCTGACACGACCTCGTTATTTGGCCCAGCCTAGAAAAAATACAAAGCAAGGTAGAGACTTGGCAGAAGCAACATGCATGATATCCAATAAACAGTTTGCTTGGAACGGGTGAACAGTAGCTTTTAACCAATCCTGAGTATATGTGAGGCATGTGGACAGCTTGAAATAGTATATGAGCTGAGCTATTTGGGCAAATAAAAGAGAACGATCGTAACCACACTGGTGTACTGTCGTTACCCGGGTCACTCGCTGAGAAGGTCCTTTCTACAGTACCCAAGGCCAAACAAAGATAATTTTCAGGGATAAGCATCTTGAAGATGCTTATTAAGATGAAAGACTGGAACTCAAAATATGAACGAAAGGAAGCAAGAACTAAGAACAACTCAAAAAAAAAAAATCTTATGCATAAAGTGGTTACTTGTCATTACATGCTTTGTAAGAGCTTAGATAACACTGAACACACCGTTGCCATATATACAGAAGCACAGTAGACAAGGGATGACAGGCCAAGGGCACAGTCACTGCAGACATCAAGAAGAAAGTTTCAAATAACAAACTGAACATAAACGTATGCAAGGTATGTTGCTTAGAGAAAAGTTTCCACTTCTTTGTTTTGACAGACACCGCACCCAGTTCCGGATTTTAAGGCAAGGCTGCAGTAAACACCGTAACTGTTCACAGAACACTGCACTGTTTCCAACACTGCTTTTTTACCCCTCACGTTGTGAAGGAAGAGATCTAACTCAGACTGTCATTTGAGAACAAAAATGTATACCAGTTCTTTTTCAGCAATACTCACTACCAGTGCACACTCTGTAGTCCATTTTAATCAGATCCTACCTTCAGCTGTGCAATCTGCTGCTCAAGCAGTACCTCTGACTGACACTTCAGTAGCTCAATCTCTTCCTGGAACTGAAGCTGCTGCTTCAATTTTACATCCTCAAATTGAGCCAGAAGAGCTGTTCGCACAGTTTCTACTTCAGAGGCTGATGCAGAAGCATACATCTGCAGACAAGTAAGTAATATAAAGTATTTTAGCCATAGTGTTATAATTTAAAAAAAAAAAAAAAGAGCCAAAACCACCAAGCTCAACTAAATTCTTCAGAGTATTTTCACAACAGTTCTCTCCAATCCTCAAGGTCATACAGAGCTGCTACCTATCATGCTGTCTACAGAAAAAAAGCAAGTTGATAAAAACAGGTAAGAAGCAACAAGGCACTAGCTACCAAGTATCTCCTATACTCAAAGACCGTCAGGTCAGACTAACAAAGTACTCCCTACTTGCTCTTTCCAACTGACATTTACCCAAGAGACATTCAAAGAAATAAGGAAGAAAGAAGGGGAGAGAAAGACAGAGGAAATGCACTCTCCCTTTCTCTTGGTCAAATGGGATTAAACATTACACAGCTTACACAGAAATACAACAAGGTACATAAACAATAACAAAGGAAGGTTTGGGGGTTTTGGTTTTTTTGGGGGTTGGGTTTTTTCTTCCTTTCTATTGTTCTGAGAAGGGCTGAACATAATAATCATGAGAATTTCTCAGAAAACTAACAAAACTACTTTCCCAGGCAAGCTACTATTCCAAAAGTAAAGAGTTTGCAATGTACTCCAACCAGCTGCAAATCACTACCAGCTCTAAGGCCTGACAGTCCAAAAGAACACAGGGGATCTCCTCCTCAAACATAAATGGTTTTTTTGTGAGGTGCAACAGGTAATACAAAGGTGCACCAGTGATTAGAGACTTGGCATGCTATCCAGTTTTCAAATTCATAACTGAAAAAGCAAAAGTAAGTTACAATTTCATGTATGTTGGGGTTTTTTTTCATAGCTGGACAAAGCTCATTTTGTTTGTCAACTCTCCTAATACACACATGTAATACATAATACAGAGAAGTGAAAAGTCTTGATCATTTGTGGCTGCTTGCATCAACCAAAGTCTGATTGTAATAAATAGAAGATCCTATTTCATTTCCATGTTTAATGAAAACTTAGTGTAGATGACCAAATTTTTAGCCTTCAGTATAAAAGTAAACATCATCAAGCTTACACATACACGTTCCCAAAAAGAAGACACTGTAAAGCTTTAAGGGCAAATAGGAAGATCTCCAAACCTCCCTGAGAAAACCTATTTGGAAAAGTATTACTTAATATAATTTATCTAAGAAAAGAAGAAATCAGTGTTGTTCACTTATAAAAGCTTGAAGTGACCAGTTACTTTCCACAAATGGTTGTTGACCTGAATTACTACCTATTAGTTTTCTATCAAAATGACAGCTTTAAAACTTTGAATTAAACACATCAGGAACTCAAAAGAAAACAAGCCCACCCACTCCCCAATAAAGACAACATTGCAAACATGGATTTAAGTTTCAAAAATTCAGGCTCACAAAGATATATGAACACTCATGTGCTCTTAGATAAAGCAAGGCTTAAAAATGTTAACTGTCTCTGCTTATCTACTTGCACTACTAAAATAATCCAAAAACCATGTAGACATACAGCCTTACTTCTAAAGTAAATATAACTGAATTTACTTTATCATAAAGTATGAATTATTTTAGCTTTACGTATTAGCAACATTCTGACCTCTTGCTCATGTTCATGCTGTGCTTTTAGTTTCTCCAACTCTTTTTCCAGCTCCCTGGAGAATTCTTCCTTATGTTTCTTAATTTCTGTCTCATGAAGATCCTGAAGTTCTTGGAGTGCTTTCCTGTGTTTTTCCTCCATGTGCAATACTTCCTCACGTAATGCATCCAGGGCCAGACGTTTTTCCTCTTCCAGCAACCTCCTTTGATTTTGAAGAGCTGTGTTTATATCATCCTGTGTAAGCATTAATTTAACAAAAGAGGGAAGAGAAAAGTGCAAATATTTTTGTAACCCATTTGTGAAGCACGTGTACTGCTGTATCAAAGGTTTTAAACAGGAAAAATATTGCCTCAGTGACGAGTACACAAACCCATTTCAATGATTTAGAGTGTGTATATGTATATTTTTCCCATCCAGTAAATGTTTTGTAAATCCCCTACGTACTTCTCTATCCGTGACAGTGCTCCCCATCAGCACAATCTTCAGCTTTTTCTTTTTTAAAGTTCTTTACACTCAAGAACAATTAAATGCAGATTTAAGATTAGTAAGTTAAGATAGGACAGAAGAAAAATACTCATCTTTCCCCCTACAAGACCATCCTCTTAGCCTTTGTGGGAACAGAAACAACATATAATCATCAGCTTGGGAAGTAGGCATGGCAACAGACAAGTCTGCAAAACAGTACATCTCTCTGGAGGGCTCTGAAGTTTTAGCAGTGAGCTAAGCCTTATCATCTCTCTGACTTGGAAAAATCTTGGGATCATTTTTTACTCATCTCAACTTTAAAAGAGCTCAAACTTCTGCCCTATCAAGAGTAAAGCTATTAGACTTCTATTAAAGGCCCTAAGACAAGAACCACTCACCCACAACTTACTCCCAAAATCCCACCTAGGATCTCTAGAGACAGCTTTCTTGTATTCTTCCCCCTCAAGACTGTGCCACTAGGGAAGATCTTTAGATTCCTAGAGATGTAGCTTAATGTATAGAATGGCACCTTGTTCTAATTACTTTCGAAGAATTACATGGTAGCTCTATGAGGCAGAGAAGCTCTGAGCCACAGAATGGAAACACTCCACTCTGAGTTATGCTAAAAATATTTATCTTACTTGTACCTTTTCCACACAGGGAGATAGAAAACAGTCTGACCATCTGGGGGCAAGGGCAGGGGAAGGGAGTGACAGATGGACTTAACGTTCAGCTTTGGTCTCCTATTTCAGCTCAGAATATGGCCACACACAAATGTTAGCTCTGGCACAAAGAATGTTGTAGAAATACACCCCAAGAACAAGAGAAAAGGTGATCCTACACAATGTACTGTGAAATGTCACCTTCTATGCCAAGTTTTGCTTCTGACGCACCTTATGAGCTTCTTCTGTTTCAACAGCCATGGCTTTAAGGTTTTCCACATGAACAGTAGCTAGCTTGATTTTCAAATTATTTTGGGCAAGCTGAAGTTCTTCAGCATGCTTTATTTTCAACATCTCTATCTCATGAATCAAGCGTGCTTGATCTATTTTATCCTTTTCATGGAGCTGTTCTACATGCTGCAGCCGCAGCTTCTCAAGAACCTGACTGTGTTCATCTCTTATATTCTGAATTTCAGATATGTAGGATGACTCCAGGGAATCCAGATTTGATAAGTGTTTGGCCTCCAACTCATTGATTTGCGCCTGATGCTTCGCCTGTAGTTCAGCAACACAAGTTTCAAGCTGAATCTGCTGTTTACTTTCTAGTGTAGATTTAAGTGTCTCAATTTCAGCTTGGTGCTTTGTCTGAAACTCGGTTGTAAGAGACAAAATTTGCTGCTTATGCTTCTCCTGTAACTGCTGACTTTGGAGTTCCAGCTCATCGTCATGTTTATTTTTCAGCTCTTGAAGAAGAATCTCTTGCTCAGTTGTGAATTTCTTAGTCACAGCTTTGTGTTCTTCTATAAACCTGTGTTATTTCCAGGAAAGTTAAGAGAATATCGTCAAAAAGGTACTGTTGTTTTTAAGTAATTGAAATAATAAATAAAAATGAAAGAAAAATAAGTAGGCCTTAGCCTCCACAAATTTTACTTTTTTTTCCAAATACAGAACTAACTGAAAGCAAACCACAATGATGATTTCATAGCCACAGAAAGGTTTATGCAATGTCACCGGGTAGTACCTGGTTGTTACTAGGTAAGACTGGCACTGCATGAAATTACTAATACAGAGCAATACACAAACAGAGTTCACTGCCTCTCTGAGAAAATATTGCCATATGAGAGCACCTAGGACATAGTACATACACAGTCTGCATTTCAAATGTGTTGTCTGCAAGCAAGTGAATCATCATAAGAAACATCTCTAAAAACACTTGGTTAAGACTGAGACATAAAACTACTGTGGAAGTACATGTGGAATACCTGGGGGGCTCATCCAAACCCAGCTCTCCTAAAGCCTGATGAATAAGATTTAGTATCTGTAGTGTTGCAATTTACCATAATAATAAAGTATAGTATTTTTGGACACAGACAGCAATAATTAAAAAGTGGTTATTTAAAGGCTAGGTTCCTGCCTTCAGTGTTTTTTCACTGTAATAATTTCCTCAATGTTGTTCTGTAAGTGTATGTTTAGGGAGGAAAGAAGGGATAAATTTGAAGCAATGCATGTAAATACAAGCATGTAGTAGTTCAAGTATTTCCTTTAATACACTTAAAACAACGTAGATAGGAAGGGGAGGGAAAATCAAGCAACTACAACTTTCATGTCTAACAAGAATTGAAGGATACCATATGCAGTCCATTAACCTCTGTGTTCAGTTGTTAACACAAGCTTCCTTCACCAAGGAAAACTTATTCAAATTCATTCACTTGAAAACACTTGAAAAAATTCAGAGAATTTTTCCACTTACCTGTCTTGTAACAGTTCCCCTCCTCTCAGGCCTGTATATCATTTTCAGCTGTGTGTTGTACTCTTTAACCCGAACAGTCAGAACCTGACTACATTTCATTTTATTTGCTACACTAGATTAAATGCATATACATGAAGCAAAATTCCATAGTGAACTGTAACGGAGAGCATTACTGTTCCTTGGAAGAATATGCTTTACACGTGTAGATTAGCTGGTGTCATCAAGTGACAAACCTACACGGCTGCCACTCAAATTTAAAATACGAAAAAGCAACAGTAAGAATGACTGAACTGGTAAGTGAAAGTGCTCAAATACTCAGGACTTACTTGCTTTGTGCTTCCATAAGTTTCAGTGCACATTCTTCCTTCAGACAAACTGTGACCTTTTCCATTTCTTTTTCCATGAGAGCTTTGGCTGCCTGCAGGTCAGCATCATATTGCTCCTGAGATTTCTGCATAGTCTGTGCACTTGCAAGGCTGTCCTCTAGCTGCTGTAAGTTGTTCTGCTGCTCTTTTACCAGCTTCTCCAATTCTAGAATTTTGGCAGCTTGGTGATCATGAAGTTGATTCATTTCAGCCTCTCGACGTTCAAACTCTTTTTGTAAATTCTGCTTCTCACATTCTGCTTTATTTTGCAATTCTATACGCAGCGACGATAACGTCTCTTCTGCTTGGATTCTCTGGTCCTCAATTTCACATTTCCATTTCTTCTCTTTTTCTTTGTACATAGCCTCTATTTTCTGAACTTCTTCTCTGGCTTCCCTTAGTTGATTCTTGTGATCCTCAGCAATTTTGTATTCTATCTGTGAACATAGTTATTAAAAAAAATGCATAAAATACCAAAACTAAACTAAAGTGTGTGAAGTGAACATTCTCAGGCATTTAAGGTTTTGGAGAGATTAAATTCTTGCAGTGGAGGCACCCCACGGAAGAAAACCAAGGCTGGACTGTCAATTTACAGGTACTTGAATTCAAAGCATTATTAAAAATTAACTGAAGTAAGAAGGAAAAACAATTAGGGCAAAATTCTGTAACTAATATAGTACGCAATGTTGTTTTCTCTCGGGGCTGCACATTTCAGGAGTTCAATTTATAAAGGTATGGGCACCTCAAGTATAGTGGTCATTATCAAAAATCCCTTTCAAACCTCCCCTCTGCTTATACATCCCAGTGGTATTTTATATGCAGTGTCCAAGTCCATGACAAGGACAATTCTTGTACGTAGCATAAAAGCAACATAAAAAGCTCATAGCACAAGAACAGAAGCCAAAGCACAAAATGATTTCTCATTAATAAAAGGCAGAAAAAGACTCTAAAATACACTGAGAGTAAGCAAACAAGAGGTCACAGAGGACAATCAGTACACTCTTCAGTATTTCCTTGGAGGGTTTGTTTTGAAGAAATATTGAAGCTTTCTTTATGTTATAACCTAAGTGAAGAGACAGAAAAGAAAGGCAGAACACCCAGATTTTGATTAACACACAATCCATGAAAACTTCTGTGGAAGGCACACAACTGAGGAAATTCAGAGGAGGTTCATTGCGTTTCTGAGAGCGAGAGACCAGAAGGCAAACAAAGGATGTATTTGCAAAGGATCAGCATGTGGGACAGGCTCATTTCAAACGCTGTACTCTGTGTACGCTTATCTTCTACTAAGCCAACAGTGCCACAAATTGCAGGGGGCAGGAGTAAGGTGTGGTACTAAAAGCTTCACTACTGGAAGCTTCAGCTGAGTCTCCATGTTATCTGCACTCTACATGTTTTCTCTGTCCTCCCCCATACGTTTTTAAGTCTGGAAAAGAATACACACACTCTCTAAAAAGGGAGGAAAGGGAGACTTAAGAAGAGCTTCATCCATCTAATTCTCAAACATTCACACATTGGAACAAATTAGGTAATAAATTAACTTCCAATATGAGTTTATCCTTAGATGGGACAGCTAATTTAAGAGGTAAGAGGAAAGGTGCTAGGTAAGATTCTCTCAACTCTTAGGACTTGGATAGTGAAGGTGTAACAGCTACACCAAAGCAGAAATCTTTGTCCGATTCTCTCTTCTTCCCACAAAAAACTGTCTGAAAAATTATTGCTGGTTATTTGCTTCAAAAGACAGTCCTACTAAAATTCAGAATTTCTTAGAGGCATCCTGTTCAGCAGAGGGGCTTTTTCACTCTGCCACAGTGCTTTCTGCTGAAGCCTCCATTACCACATGACACGTCCCCGTACACAAGTGTGCCCTGCAGGGAGGTGGTCAGGACAAAGGCCTTTTGTGTGTGCCTATATTGGTGTGGCATACGTACGCTTGACCCACAGCAGTGTAACAGGTGGGCTACATCAATCCTTGAACCACCTGCCCTCCCACACCATCTGTGCTCTTAGAGAAAAGTTCACATGCAAAGAAACTAAGTATTTAACACTAAAGAGCTCTGAACTTATTCTGATATTTGTGTGTATACATGCAAGTCCATTTAAAGCTGAAGCTGCCTACACTGAACAGAGATGTTTAAAGGTAAGTGCTGCTTCTATCTCCTCTGGCCTTCCCAACATATCTAAGCTTGCTCAACTTTATACAAGGCAGTACTCTAATATGAATTACCTTTTGCATTTCCTCTTTCAAATGCTTTTCATTCTGCACAGAGGAGTCTTTTTGTTTAGTAATCTCATCCTTTAAGTGCTCTATTTCTTCTGAAAGCTCTGCAATATGCCGTTTCTCAGACTGGAGGAGGGAGAGCTTAGCTTTGTGCTCTTCCTCCAGCACAGACGCTCGCTCAGCCACCTCCATTTCAACTTGACGCGCTGCATCTTGAGCACTCTGTAGGTGCAGTTTGGTGATTTCTGAAAATACAAATTAAAACAGAAAAGAAAAAACCCCACACAATAAAATGGCATTCTGGAATTTATTTCAACAAGCCCTATTGATGCACAGAAATAAAGCTGAACATTGTCAGCTGTGCAGATTCGGTAGTCATACTAACTACAGACTAACAAGAATTCCTTATCAGGATGATTTTGTACTCGTTCTGCTTTATCATCACCTTTGAAACATACCAGTATCAACAAACACACTGAATAATGGGGAGAGATCATGAAAAGCTGTGGCAGGACCTCACTCCTATGAGCAATAGCCACAGGAGCTGACTTTTTGTGAAGTATAATGGCAGATTTATTGGAATTTTATGTCCTCTATTGCACACACTATTTACATAAAGGCATCTCCCCGAGATGCAGATAGAACAAAACTAAACATTTTAATTTAAGCAGTTTTGATATACTGCCTGGTATTAAACAGAAATAAATAATTGAAGATAAGAAATATATCTGCAAATGAAAAAAGTTTTACTGATTCTTCTAACCAACATAAAACTGAATATAGTTACAGCCATGTGTTGTTATACAGCTAACTGTAAATTATGGATTACAATTTCAAATGTTTGCGTACCATACTGTGTTCCCAGGAAGAAGCTGCAGATACAAGAGCTGCAATGATCTTCTACCTGCACCTCAACAATATATGCATTTCATACTGAACCAGTACAAGGCATTATATTTCTATACATTAAAACTCCAAGACAAGCAGGAAATGTTAAGAAATTATACAAACCCATGACTGCATAGGAAGTCTTATTAAATTTAGCCTTAAAAGGAACTTTAACCTCCAGCAAAAAACACCTATTACAAATTCTGCTATCATAAATACGTTTATGGAGAGGAAAAAGAAATATAAATGTTAAATGAGCAGAGCACTTTCAAACTCACAAAAGGAACACAAGAGGTGAAAGAGGTATGGAACATAGAACAGAAGAGGGTCTGCTCTATGGAACAGACTGGGAACTAGCCTATTTCATGCAAATACAAGAGAGGTATAACATAGCTGACAGACAACACTAAGACATTTTCAAATAAATATTAATTCAGGAATTGACAGTGCCCTTCTAGGCATCAAGAATGAAAACCTGATCAACTCCTTTTTGCAACTACTTCACAGCTGTAGTAGAATTTGCTACCAGAACATCCTTAGGCCACCCACATCTCTGGAAGTTCAACTCAACATACCAATAAAAGTCAAAAAACAAAGTACTTGATGCCAGGAATTAACATATTTTAAAGTGTTCCCTATAGTTTAGGGTAAACTAATAACAAACTTCTTCAGATAGGCCTAGTCAAAGAAAAATATAAGCCACAAATGAATCTTACCATTTTGCTTCCCTGTCAGATCATCTTACCTTTTATATGTTCTTCTGAAAGTTGGGCACGTAGCTGCTCAAGTTCTAAACAATGTTTTCTTTTAATTTCCTCAATTTCTGTTATATATTTTTCTGACAAATCCATCGTCATTTTCATTAGGTCCTTCTTATATTGAAGTGTAAGGGAAGATCTTAAGGAATCTAATTCATGTCTGTGCTGTTCTTTAAGTTCTACCTGCAAACAGGCAAGTTCTTCCTAAGTAAGAAATAAGTTAGTCATCTTCAGCTTTGTAGAAACCATGTTGAGAATCTTTCCATGAGAGCACCACAGAAATGGCACTACAAAGCACCTGTTTGACACATACATCTCACTTCCAAAAACCTACTGGTCTTGCTGTTTCTGCCACTGTCTGCTACTAGAGTTGCAAAGCCCCTCCAGACAGATTCGTTTTTGCAACTATGCCACAAAGCAGATCTGAGTTTCAGGAGCTGTTTGAAAGTATAATAGAGGAAGAAGTCCCACATGCATCTGGCTGGAGAAACTACTACCAACAATGAAGAGACCTTGTCCACCCACACCACAGAACTTAGAAGTAATGATCTATGACTACAGTTTCATACTTAGCTAGGTAACATAGCAGGAAGTAAAAAGGCATGATGTATACATTTCTCATAACTCACATGGGTTCTGGTGTGATTTACTAATAGAATTGAGCTCACACTGTGCTGGGTATGTCTTGTCTGCTTGCCATTCCCTCACAAAAAAAGGTATTAGTTTTTATAATTTAATAAATAAAAATCTAAAGCCAAATAAAAGGAAAATTCTTTTTTGAGACTCTTAGTTACCTTCAAGTAAGCTGAGCAAAGAAGTGAAGAACCTTAATTACGAAAAAGGTACATGAAAATGGGTGCATAAATTGAAGAGGAACCAAATTAGCATATCCACTTGAAGAGAACAGACAATTATTACAGAAACTATAGAGAAGAGAAAGACCATGAATTCTCCACTTGTGTGGAAGAGCTTTGATAAGTTCTTTACTAGGCATGGGATAACCTAAACTGAGGACACAAGGTTACAGAACAGTATTTTGTCTGTACTGCTAGTCCAAGAACTATTTAAAGTTGATAATTTGCAATATACTTATCAAAACCAAGGCTTAATAAATGTCTCAAATTTACTCACTCTTTGCTAAGAGCTCAGACATCAAATTTCAAAGAGGTCATGTAACAAACAGAAGAACATTAATATATGAAAAATCCTACCTGATGCTGTTCCAGCTGTTGATTTAGCTGACCAAGTGTATTCCTTCTCCCCTTCTCAGCAGCCTCTTCAAAAACTGCGGCAGGATTTTCCAAACTGAGGAAAGCATTTTAAAGTTTAAGACTGTAACACATATCACAAGTTAAATGAACTTGCAAGACTTATGATGTAGTACTGAAAGCAGGCACAGAGCAACATCAGCAGCAGCTCAGGACTGTGCACTCATGACTTCCATCGCTGGGTTTCTAACTACAGACCACCTAATGCTCAATCCCAATATATTTAGAGGCTAACATCTTTTATTAAAAAAAAAATAAAATAAAAAATGGAAGCATACTGTCATAACATGAAATGAAAAAGAATAGATCACCTGATGTCCCCTGCTTGATCTTGACTCACATCCAACTCTGACAGTGAGTAGTCCTTCAGATCTTGTAGTCTCTGGTGCAGCAAAGTCAATTCTTCTCTGTAGTTTTCTTCAGCCACAATTAACTTATTTTCAAAATAAAGTCTCAGTTGTTCCAATTCAGTTTCATGCTCAATTTTTCTCTGCTGACGCTGCTGTTCAAATTCTTGTTTCAAATGCTCTATTTCCTCCACCCGTGATGCACGAGCCAGGAGCTGCTCTTTCAGCTCTGGAACAGAAGCAAAGCCAACACAAGTACTCAGACACATATCTTTAGGCCAAGTAATTCTGTTAAGACCAGTCATATTTTAGTTAAGATAGCAGTAAAATATTATCCCACAAGCTACAAGAGAAATTAACTTTTGAAAGACACTGTTTCCTCAAAAGACAGTAAAGCCATATTTTCCATTTAGACTATGTTCAAAGAAGCCATCCTCATAACAAGAATCCAAACTACCAGCAGACTGCTAGTGCTCCTCATTTCCTTGAGCTTCAGGTCTGGGTTAGTAACATGCAGAGTCGTGCAATATATATTAATCTTCACATCTGATTGTTATAGCAACCAGAAGCAATAATTTAGTGAAGAACACAATTTGCACCAGTGAAAACTATCCAACAAATCAAACTAACTTTTAGCACAAACTGCAGGGAAAAAAAAATCATAAGAAAGAAAATAAAATCAATTCTGGATTACTTTAGTGATGGCTTGGCTATCCCTCATTAGCTCAAGCAGAAGCTAAATTCATTGAACTAAAATAAAACATCCCATGGCGGCGGGGGGAGGGGGGAAATCAGTAGAAAAGAGCAATCAAGGGTAGTTCAGCAAGTTACCCTCTGTTCAAGGAGTGAGGACAAGGACAAACATCACAGTGTATTAATGAAATTTTAGAGAGCTTTATTCCACATCTTCTTTATTAAAGAAGCAATAACATATCAGGAAGTTAAAAGAGTTAAAAAAAAAAAGGACAAAGACTACGAAAGGCAGTTTAAAAAAAAAAGTTTCCCACATGGATCAATTTCCCAGATAACTTAATGTAGCTGAATTCCTACAGAATCAGCTGAAGATGGAACTGCATTTCAAGAAGAAAGAACTTTGAGAAAAGCAGCTGCTTATGTTATAAAAGAAGAGAAGCAGCAACACAGCTGATTGTCACAGTGTGTAGCACCAGAAAACGCATGCTTGGCATGGAACATTCTCACAATGAACATGCAAACAGGAAGAGTAAGACAAGTACGCTCAAACTTGCTTCCAAAGGAAGCAGCTGCCAGGCACAGGGACAGAGGAATCATGTGACAAGCAGGGACTAGTAACACCATCAATGGGGTAGGAAAGCAAAGTCCAATCTGGCACAGGATAAATTTTGCCCAACTGGCAAAGTCTGGCAGTGCAAAATTAACCCAGAAAAGTGTTAAATAGTTTTCATTGGGCATGTATTTCTTATATTAGGGCAGAAATCGCATCAGCCAGCTGCTATCTTTTGAATCCACAACCATGAGTGTCTTCAAATCAATCCAAATGCATTGTCAAATGATCACCCAAGTGAAGAAATGCAGAGTAAAACAAAACACCCATTTAAAATGTCACACAACACAGATGTCCTCACCTGGACCATGGGCTTGCATTCTGGTCTCACCATCTCAAACAAGATGAAAAAAACAAAGGGTCCAAAGAATGTGAATGTGAGTGATTAGAAATATGGAAAGACATTTGAAAGGTTAATAAAGGTTAGGGCTACAGAGAGGAAATAGCCATTTACAGTATTTGCTGAAATTCTTATCTGCTAAAATTCTGTAATACCAAAACAGAAATCTGAAGAGAACAATGTAGAGTCTCAATAGATTATTTATTTATTTAATGACCAAAAAAACCCCAACTGACAACCAGCCATACTCACAAAACCCTATTATACTTGAAAAGCTATTTACATTTGTATTATACAGGAAATCTGGCATTGCATTTGAAGCCTATTATATCTCCTTTTAGCTATCCCTGCAGAATTAAAGGCCACCACCAAATATATGTTACATTCTCAATACAAGGTGGACAAACAGTCAAGGTTAACATCATGGTCTCAAGCATTTTCATTTTTCCAAAGTTGTTTCTTCCTTACACTATACATCTGTTTGCACACATATCTGAGATATGTTCCACTTCATTTCAACCAAAAGCCTGTCATCTCCAATTGCTACACTGTAAAGCTGGTTTAAAACACTGAAATCTTGAAACAGAAATGTAAAGTGTACCACGTCAGATTTTGGGTAGCCATTTTCTCCCAAGCTTTAAAACTTTTTTGTTAAGTTTAATGCAGATAAACATATGACTAATTAAAAGAACAGAAAACCCCACCAAACCAAAAGACCTACCCTAGCACTGTTCTATTTTTTCCTTTTAGATAGGTTTAGGAGACTTTTTTTTTAAACAGAAGCATCATTATGGGAAAAAGAGGTTATTTTTAGCCTTATAGTAAAACATTATCAACCAAGGCCAGCTTGGTGAGGTGGGCTTTAAACTGAAGGACTTGGGGGGCAAGGTCCAATATGGCACTGCTGACACTATTGCATCCAACTAGGGAATAGGGCAGGCCAATCAGACCAGTGACAAATGTTCCTTAGCTGCATCCTAAGAGGAGAGCCAGAAGGCCAACCACCACCCTCAAGGGTGGGTATGGCTATGCTGCATCCTCTTGCAAGCCTTCAGACAAACCATCTTGCTTGATACACAAATCCATGGGGCCAGATGGGATACACCCAAGGGGAGATCTCACTCTCTATAACTCCCTAACAGGACATTGTAGTAAGGCAGGGGTCAGTCTCTTCTCCCATGTAGGAAATGATAGGATAAGAGGAAATGGCCTCGAGTTGTACCAGGTGAGGCTTAGGTTGGACACAAGGAACACTTCCTTCACAGGAAGGGTTGTAAAGCCCTGAAACAGGCTGCCCAGGGCAGTGGTGGTGTACCCATCCCTGGAAGGATTTAAAAGACAAACAGATTGGCATTTAGAGAGATGGTTTAGGGGTGGGCATACTGGGTTAGCAGTTGGACTTGAAGGTCTCTTTGAACCAGAACAATTCTATGATTAAGTATCTGGAATGCCCATACACCAATCTACACAGCATGGGGAGTAAACAGGAAGACTTAGAGATCCGGGTGCAGTCACAGGGCCACTCTCTCATTGCAGTGATGGAGACAGGATGGGATGGTCCACATGACCGGAATGCTGTCATGGACAGACACATACTTTTGAGGAAATACAGGCCAGCAAGGCAAGGTGGTGGAGTTGCTCTTCATGTGTGAGAGCAACTGGAACTCATCAAGCTTTGCCTAGGGGGAAATGAAAAATGTGTTTAAAGCTTATGTGTAAGAAATAAGGTGTAGGCCAACACGGGCAACACTGCTGTGGGTGTTTTACTACAGGCAGCCTGTAAAACGACAGGAAGATGAAGTCAGTGAGGCCTTCTACAGACAGCTGAAAGTAGCCTGACAATCACGGGCCCTGGTTCTCACAAAGGGCTTCAACCACCCTGATATTTGCTGTAAAGACAGCACAGCAAGGCATACACAGTCCAGCAGGCTCCTGCAGAGGTGATACCTTTCTGACACACATGACAGAGAAGCCAATAAGGAGTGGTGTGCTGCTAGACCTTGTACTAACAAAGGACGTCTCCTTAGGGTTTTGCAGGTTGGGGGCAGCTTTACCTGCAGTGACCACAAAATAGTGGAATGGAGGATCCTGCATGGAAGCAGTAGGGCAACATGTAGGATTAAAACCCTGGACTTCAAGAGAGCTAACTTTGGCCTCTTCAGAAAACTGCTTGGAGAAATGCCATGGGTTAGGGCTCTAGAAGGAAACCCAAGTGAGAGAGCCCAAGCCCAAGCAAGCTGGTTAATATTCAAGCACCACTTCACCCAAGCTCAAGATCAGTAAGATATCAAGCAAAGGAGGCAGGAGAACTCCATGGATGAGCAAGAAGCTCCCGGAAAAAACTCAAATGGAAGTTTATAGAATGTGGAAAGAGCCACATGGGAGGAATATAATTGCCAGAGTATGCAGGGATACAACAAGGAAGGGTAAGGCCTACTTGGAATTAAATCTGGCAAGGGATGTCAAAGACAACAAGAAGGGCTTCAGGTACATCAGTAGTAAAAGGAAGACTAGGGAAAACACAGGCACACTGCTGAAAGAGATAAGTGCCCTGGTGACAGAGGGCACAGCAGAGGCTGAGTTACTGAATGCCTTCATTGCTTCAGTCTTTACTGCTAAGGCCAGCCCTCAGGAATCCCTGACCCTGGAGGTACAAAACTCTGCAGGACGAACAACTCTCCCTTCTGATCTGATCAATAGCTAACGGGCAGGGATCAAGAGGATAGGGCCAGACTCTTGCCAGTGGTGCCCAGTGATAGGACAAATGGCCACAGTCACAAACTAGATGACAGAAAGCTCCATCTGAACATGAGGAAAAAAATTCTTACCCATGAGGGTGTCAGAGCCCTGGACCAGGCTGCTCAGAGAGGTTGTGGAGTCTTTGTCTGGAGAGATTCGAAACCCACCTGGATGCAGTCCTGACCAACATGCTTTAGCCATTGGATTAAACGATCTACAGAAGTCCCTTCCAACACCTACCATGCTGTGATTCTGTGAGTCATTCTGATTTCTGAATTATCACCTGAATGTTTTAATTTTTAAAATACAAGGTATCTTTAAATCCAGGGCTTTTCTATAATTAAGAATTTGAAGTCTTTCAGAAGTTGATGAATCTCCATGTTGAGTGTCAATGAAAAAGCATTTTATTTAACTCACCTCAAAACCGAAAGGGGAAATAAAAAAAACAAATGCTTTTCTACTTCAAGATACAACCTAATCAGTTTCAACATAATTCTGGTTTTTTATTTGGTTTGGTTGGTTTTTGTGTCTTTTTTTCCTGTCACTGACACTTTTGTGACCTCCCTGTGTGTTTCTGGTACAAAATAAAAGTATTTTTTATCAATAATGTATATACCTATATGAAAAAGAGGCAAAAAATAAAATGAGTCAGTTTTGAACATACCACTTAGCTCCTGTCGATTTGCTCGGGTACTGTCAAGCTGGGACCAAAGCTCCCTGATTTCTTCTTGTGAACGAGTCTTGAGCTCTTCATGCGTGACCTGAAGTTCCTCCAGCTATGGACAACATTTAAAAGTTGGGGTGTTTTTTTGTTTTTTAAGACTAGTTTTGTTCTAACTTCCTATTTTATGATCAGACAGTTCTGTCAGACGTAAGTGGAAACAGCAATAACCAGATTCTCAGCCCCCATGCCAGGGTATCAGAGATACTGAGTAGCACTTCAAAAGGCACCAAATGGCACAAAGGCAACTGCATTCAAGATTTTGAACCACAATAAAAAAAATCCCAGAGTATTTGCCTGCTTCATGAGATGCATTTTAATTTTTCAATACAATTCCTAAACACAAAAAAAAAAAATAACTAAAATGACATGATCAAGATTTTGTTATGTAGAATCACCTAGTTGAGTAAAGAAATCTTATTTACCTGCTTCTGAAGATTCTGTTCTTTTTCTTGGCTTTTCATCTTCATATCTTCAAGGTGTCGATTATATTCAGTCTCCAGTTCTTCTTGTAATTTTGTAATGGCTAACTGGTGTTGCTTCTCCAGTTCCACACATTTTACTAGAATTAAAAATGAGTTCAGTTACACCATCATCCTGGTTACCTGCACAACTTTTCTGCAACTGTCCTGGTTCAGCTAGGATAGGGTTAACTTCCACCAGCAGTTGGGAGGGTGCCACAGCCAGCATAGACAACTAAATGTCATGCCTGCTACATAAGGGCCAGGACAGGTTTGTTTAATTACTGTTATTATTATAACTGTTATTTATTGCTCCTTTTGTATTGGTGTATTAAATTCTCCTTATCTCAACCCATGTGATTTTGCAGTTTTCTCCCTTTTCTAATTCCTGTTCAAGTGGGCATGGGGTGCTCAGCTCCTGGCTGGATCTAAACCTCGACAGGAACTAAAATAGAAATAGGGGTCTCTAGACCAGGATGCTAGGTACTACTTGAATAGTAAAGTATTTGAAAGTCAAACATATCTACACAGTGCTTCCTCATTCTCTGCATCCCAACCCGTTAGGCAACAGACAATGATGCCAGAAGGATGAGCATCTGCGCCCTGCATACGTGAACAAGAACTAGAAGCACACTCACTTGGAGCAGGGAATCAAGCACTTCTTCATGGCCAAGAAACACAGAGTTTTTCCTATGACCACACTCAGCAGCAGGCAACATAAGAGATGGAAAGAACAGGAAGGACTAGGAAAGCTCATGCCAAGTATGCTCCACCTCAGTGCTGAGCACTCTCTGAACTTGCTACTGCCTTGTTTGGTCAAGAGACCTTGACCTGCCCAGAAAGAATCTGCAATCAAGTGACCGCCCCAGTGAGCTGCAAGAGATGCACGTTATCATCTCAGAACAGGTTTTAATGATACTGGTTCAGGGAAACCCAGTGAAGTCAGTGCATTCTGGAAAGAACAAGCTATTGCTACAAACACATCCTCACAGCAGCCACAGGCAAGCCAAACACCGTGAAAGCATCTGGCCCTTCACTGGTCAAAAAGGCTACTCTTCACTTCTCAAACCTGTCTTGCTGTCCACCAGCCAGCATCATCCAGTACCCGTAACACCACATTTCCATTTATTTGGAAAGATTATTATCCCCCATGTCTCTCAACTGCAGAGAGATTCAGACATTAGGCAACCTGATTATTTCTCTTCATGGCACACCACAACTCATGGCTCCTTCTCATGTTATCATTGACTGCAAATCTGATGCTATTGTGCCAGTCAACCACTATCTTGACAAAATGTGCCAAACTTCTAAGACTAACACGTAAACTTTTCATAGTTCTATCTCCTATTTGTATCTCAGCAAAAGACACTGATGTGCCTGGCTAGGTACTCCTTCAGATTTCATTTTTCAAGTTAATGAAACTCCAATTACATCAGTCTAAAAAAAGTCACTTCCAGAACAGTATTTTTTAAACTGACTGTTTTGTTACAAGTTTAGATTGTGAATAAAGTGTATTTCTTTGTTAGAAGAAAGCTTCTATTGATATTATTCAGAATTTTGAGTGGTTCAGTAACTATCCAAGCCAGTTTTCAGCTGGAAGCAAAACAGCACCTCCCTTTAATACACCTGAAGGAAAACACAGTCCACCTCATGTTCTGTGGAAGTCAAAACACAACACAGCTAACTAGGCTTTAAGCAGTTTTTCATTTACAACCTGTTTGCTGCACAGTCTCGTGCCATCAATGCAGTTTTTCAGTAAGAGGATATGGATAAATCCGCTATTAGCTTTCTATACAGATTCTAAAATCACTTAGCTTTGTCATTGTTCAATAAAGACAACTGCTTCCCAGATTACAGCACTTACTTTTAGACTGTTCATTCTCATGAGAAAGCAGCCCCAGCTCTGCTTTGACTTTTTCCAACTCCTTTTCCAGAGTTTTCTGCAGTTCCGTCATTTCAGTCTCATGTTTCTCAGACAGTTCTTCACACATATTTTTTAGACGCATGTCAGATTCCAATTCCCAGTCTTTTTTGAGACTCTAAAGAGAGCAAGACATGCATTATTAAAGCAAACACACTTAGTGAAATAGTGGTTTTATTTTTTCCTCCCCCATTTGTTTGTCCTCTACAATAGATGTGTAGCATACATGCGACTTCTACTGGCTCAAAGTTTACTTTTTCCATGTATGAAGAACAGAATTTGTACCTCTAGTGCCTGGATACGTGCCTCTTCCATTTCCAATTCTATTTTCTTTCTCTGATCAACTGTGAAATAAAATACTTATTAATAAAATGACATAAAATGCTATGATTAAGTGATAAGTGGAAACATGGATGAGAGAATAGCATTTTCAGAAGCAGACTCAGGGCTTAAGTAGGTAGGCATGCAGTAGTGTAATGCACTGGGTTCTGTCTAAACCTGCTGTTATGCTATACTCCAGAAATTCACTTTCATTTTAGAAAACAAGCATCTAGCAGTTACAAAAATAAACACAACCAACTAAACCTCCAAACAAAAAACCCACCACATCATTAATACAAATTCATGTGCCTATCAATGTCATTTTAAATTTTAGCATTTCACTGCACATCACTGTTCAGCGTTAAAATCATCTCTGTCTTCAGAGATACAGCAGAAGAGCCAGAGACACAACAAAACAGCAGCAGACAGCAGCAAGTAGGAAACTCTCAAATTTCTAAGAACATCTAGGAAGCAGACTGCAAGATAGATCATAGAGTCAAAAAATGGTTTGGTTTGGGAGGGACCTATAAAGGCCATGTAGTCCAAAACCCCTGCACAGAGCAGGGACAGCTTCAGCTTGAGCAGGCTACTCAGAGCCCTGTCCAAGCTGACCTGGAATGGTTCCAGGAATAAGGCACCAATCACCTCTCTGGGCAACCTGGGCCAGGGTCTCACAACACTCAGTTTAAAAACATCTTCCTTAGATCTAATCTAAATCTCCCCCCTTTCAGTTTAAAACCTTCACTCCTTATTCTGTCACCACAGGCCATGCTAAAAAGTCTGTCCCCATCTTTCTGACAGGCTCTTATAAGTACTGAAAGGCTGCAAGAAGGTGTCCCTGAAGCCTTCCCTTCTCCAGGCTGCCCAAGCCCAGCTCTCTCCTGCTGGGCTCCCAGCAGAGGGGTTCCCCCTCGGGTCATTGCTGGGGCTCCTCTGGCCCCGCTCCAGCAGGTCCCTGTCTCTGCTGTGCTGAGGACTCCAGAGCTGCCCCAGCCCTGCAGGGGGGTCTCCCCACAGCGGGGCAGAGGGGCAGAATCACCCATCCAATCCAATTTAGAGAGAAGAATGTTGTGGGGGGGGACTATGGTGTTTCCCTATTGGGTCCTATTACCTCAGGAGTCCCTGGATCATCTCCATAAGACTTCTAGTGCACTGCAGTGTCCCCAGCATGCCTCACAGCAACAGCTGAAGGCCCTTGCTAGCACCTTTTCCCTCTAACCTATGATGCCATTATCTGCCCAGTTATCACAGACAACAATTGTTTCTTCCTTCCCAGCTCCTTCCCAGATTCATTCCAACTTCTTGTTCAGCATCTTTCTTGATGTAAAGGCCTGTAAAGGCCTATCAAACCCTGTAAAGGCCTATCAGTCCCCCACCCCTCACAGCTTCAAAGTACCATTGCCTTAGCTTGCAACCTTAAGTCAAGTCTTTCACTTTCCAAGTACTCATTTCCCATTAAGATAGTGCCATCTACCCAACTAATGGTCCAGTAGAGGAAAAAATATTAACTAAGTCACAAGACAGTGTCCCAGCACTTGTGTGAGGGAATCATCACCTCCCCTGAAGAGAAATGTCTGTCCTCTAGTGACCCAGGTAATAGTACCCACAACTCCCCACCAGGTCCCCTGCATCATCCAGATCCTCCTTCTCAACCTCTACATTCAAGCACTCTTCAGTGCTTACATTCACATCCAGTTACATTGCCAAAAGGCACATAAACAGCATTGATCTTAGGAACTGCATCTAGACCTCCCTCTGCTCCCAAATCCCATCATATCACCAATTCACTATGTTACTGATGGTAACAAACAGTTTTCTACTCTTAAATCAAAAAGACACAGCCCTAAAACATTCTATCCTCTTAGGAAAGGACAAATAAAAATTGTTCCTAAACTATTTCAGTGAATTGTTACAGGTCTCATGTTTCTCCAGAAATTCTTCAAGCTCTGCCACAGTATAGTGCTATTTTACAGAGGTAGCAGCAAAACACCCATAACAGGTGAAGAAAAATTCAAGTTAGGTTTGGACAACTTAATTTCATATCTAAATCATGCACTCTTGCACATGCCAGTCTAGCCACTGTCCCTGTTTCAGGCAACAACAGCTGTCACTCAAAAGCCCACCCTGCCACCAAGACAGAAACCTGTGGAGGAAGAAAAATACTGATGGGGTCTTCAATTTCACTATCCCCAAATTTTAATACCTAGTTCTTGCTGATACTTTGACTTCAGGTCTTCTTTTTCCCTCAGAGACTGTTCTTTAACCTTCTCCCACTCCATCTGATGGCGGCTCTGCAGAATCGCTACCTCCTGAGCACGTTTATCATTGAGCATCTCCCGTAGTTCCACAAGGGCAGTTTCCTTCTCTTTTCTCAAGTTAGACTGCATGAGCTCACGCTGAGAGATGTGCATGTTATTTAAGCTTAGGCGTAAGGCTTCCAATTCAAGGCTGTGCAGTGCCTGTAATGGAGAAGAAAAAAGAGTTGTTTCTTCCCCTTTAGTGAAACATGTTCAATTTTGGCATGACCAGTTTCCATTTCAACCGCTTTCAACTGTTGATCACATCTAAGTTTTGCCTTTCTGTACTTGGAGGGCATTCACAGCAGGGACAGAACCCTGAAAATAAGCTGACTTGTTACAGAGATTTGAATAACATATTCAGTGCAAAGTAAAAGGCTTATTACCTGCCTCAACTTCATCTCCCACCAAATAGCTTGTATCTGTCCACTTCCCCACAATGCCATCAAAGCAGAACAAAGGCTCACCCCAACCCTTCACTGTCCATTAAAACAATTCCTCATGTTTGCTATTGGCTAGAATTTGCAAGATTCTGAAGTGGGAATGGAAGAGCGGAAAGAAAATTCACCACACTTCATTTAAAAGAAAAAGTGAGGAATATTCAACAGTTAGAAATGGCAGCTGTAATAGACCAATTAAACTTTTCAGTTCTTAAATAACTAAACAGTACACCAACATCTTGTAATTAGACATATCCCTAGACAAATTATTGCCATTTCCATTTTGCATTTAGTGGAAGCATTTGAAAACTCAGTAAATATTTCCAGGAAGAAGTCAGGTTTACATACCAAGTTTAGCATGAAAGCATTCTTAATTATAGTAGTAGGATAAATAAAGGGTTTAACTCAATTTAAGCATCCATTTTTCATCAGAATTAACATTAAAATCTAACTGCAGTAAGGATCCTGGAGAACCAGTGTAGAAAATACCTACTACCACCCACCAAGAGAACACTCCTAATTCTTCAGCTGGAGCACTACATAAAAAAAGCACACATGGCATGCACAAAAATCAAGGAGCCTTCTCTTTGCAACAGCCAGGTAACCACTACAGTAACTACTGTGTACTTATTTTACTTGTGATTGGAGCTGGGCTTGCTCAGACTCTGCTTTGTGTGTGGCTGCCATTTGCTGCCGGAGTTCATCCAACAAGCGCTCCTGTTCTTTATTTAGTTCAGCACGGAGCTTCTCCATTTCCTCTTCATGTTTAGTAACCAGTTCAGAGATTTCTCTGTCATGCTCTCGTTCATGTATCTGCAGAGAATGTTCAGATAAAGACCTTTCTTCAAAATATGGTTAGTTAGCCCCTAATAAATTGAGCCAGAATTCTCCCCTCCTCCTGACTCCAAATTAAAGACACTCCAGAAAAAACAATTAGACTTTTTGCATCTCTAAAACTTTTATACCACTTAAATGACAAACAAGAAAATTTTCCTGAAATAAACCAAACTACAGTATTTACCTTTTTTATTAAAGCAATCTGTTCCTTTTTTTCTTCTTCCAACTTCTGCTGTTTTTCCACTTTATCTTTTATTTCAGCATCTAATTCTTCTATCTGAAAACAGGCATACAAACGTTTACAATGATTACCTCAAGCGTTCTGAAATCCCAAGACTCCTGTTACCAGGGTTTCTTACCTCTTTCTTGTGTTTCAGACTCACTTGAGCTAATTCAGCAAGGCGCTGAGCCTCCATTTTATCCATCTCCTCCTTGTAATATTTCACCAGCTCGGATTGTGCCTCCTGTGCAGACTGGAAGCGAGTCTCAAGCTCCAAATAAGCTTTCTTCAGACAGGTGATTTCTTCAGTTAACTGGCTTTTTTTCTGACTGTATTCAACGTTTCTTGCCTTTATTTCAGCATTAAGTTTATGAATTTCTAAGTTGCTGAAGTTTAACCTGTCTTCATAACCCAGTCTCTCACACTCCTGCATTTCTTTGAGATTTTTCACTTCAGTGTGAAGTTCATGTATGTTTTTTTCAAGATCCTCAATGATGCAAGCACTATCTGCTTCTGCTTTTTCTGCCTTTACAAGATCCTCCTCCACATTGGATAGTCTTTCTTCTAAGGCTGTTTTCTCCATCAATAAGAGTGCTAAATCTTGTTCTTTGTTACTGATTTCAGCTTTGAGCAACTCCTGTTCTTTTACCAGTGCCTCTTCAGATACAGTTTTCTGACCAAGCAGTTCTGCTATCCTCTGGTTTTCAGCCTTCTGAGCATCAAGCTGGCTTTGTATTTGATCCCTTTGACTTTGCAGAGCAGCTAACTGACATCTAAAACCAGACTGTACTTCACTTGCTGCAGAATCAGAACCTGTTTTCTGCTCTTGAGCGTCCTTCACTAATTGCTCCCGAGTTTGCAGCTGCACCATCAACATTTCTCTCTCTTTTACCAGGTCTTTTACCATTTCTTGCCAGGTCACCAGGGATTTTGACACTTGTGTTAAAGGCTCTACAGCACAGTCAGCTTGGCCTCCACCCTTACCCTGCTGCCTTACTAGAAACATTATTTCGTTCTCAAGCTCTTTCTCCTCCTGTGTTTTTTGAAGAAGTTCTTTTTCACAAGAGATTCGTGCTTCACGTTCCTCATGCAGTTTCTCACGCACACAAGAGAGCTCAGCCATCACTTTTTCCCATTTGTCAACAGCTTCTTGAGTCTCCTTGTAAGCTTTCTTCAAGGCCAACTCCTTCTCACGGAGCTGGTCAGCTAGCTTCACACATCTCTCTATTAAACAAGCTGTTTCATCATCCTTTACATCACTGTGGTCACTTATTTTGTTTTGCTGCAGGGAATTATCTCCTAAAAATGAAATAAAGCCCTCTGCTCCCACCTCAGCCTCTTCAAAAGTCTCTGGAGCCAAACTGCTAGGACAAGTTTCCTTATCAAGGCCAAAGTTTAATGGAGATGGTATAAAATCTCTGCTGGGTTCTAGCAGCACACTACTATTTAAGCTACTGCATCTGCCTCCTTCAATGACATAACCTTCAGAAGTGCTGGACACATATGACTCTTCTGGTATCTCTGTGGAGATGAGATATTTAGCCAATATGCCTTCAGCACCACTAAGAAGCTCTAGTTCTGACAAGTGTTCTTCATACAGCTTATCTCCTTCACTACTTTTCTCCCTGTGATTATTCTCTGTAATATTTGAATTCTTAGTTTCCTCTAATTGATCACTTGAGGAGTCTACTCCCAAGTCATGCTGGAACTCTAGTTCTTTGTGAACTAGCTCATCTTTACCTTTCAACTGATGCGGAATACACCACATCTCCTCAAACTCTGCACTCTGCAACTGTGACACCTCCGGTAAAATCTGTTTTTCACATAATTTCATTAGCTTTTTATTGGAGACAATCCCTTCATCAGGCTTTTGCCTCACAAGTATACTTTTTTCAGCCTCATTAAGTTGCTTTTCATTTAATTCTTGGATGAAAATATTCAGTTTCTGAATCTCTTCACTCAAGAGCTGATTTTCTTCTTTGTATCGCTGGGCTTCCTTGACCTGCTCTTCTGCATCTGAAAGTTGAGACTTAAGGCTATCAATTAAGTCCTTGTATTTAGTCTCAATTTCAGATTTTTCTCTCTGGAAGTCTTCCTGTTGGTTTTCAAGTTTCCTTCTCAAATTGTCTTTATTAATTTCAGACTCATGAAGAACATTATTTAAGTCAATTATTATACCATTCAAATTCTGAATGTGTTCTTCAGAATTCAGAGCACAGAGTTCTTTTTTTAACTGTTCAAATTCACTCTTATATTTTAAAGTAATTTGTTCTTCATATACCTGCTCGGCTTCTGCAATCTCTCTTCTGTGGCACTTCTCCAGCTTAGCCCTCAAGTTTTCCAACTGTCTGCAAATATCCTTTTCATAACCAATTTTCAGTTCTTCAATACGTTGCTGTTCTTTCATTTTGCACAGAGCTATTTCATTTTTTAATTCTGTTATTTCTGAGTCCCGTAGAGCAAGGGTACGTTGTAGAATATGCAAGCTAAGTCTTTCTGATGTCAATACATTTTGAAGACTTTTAATATGTTGTTCGTTTCCTCCTATGCTTTTGTGTAGCTGTTGCACTGTATCTTTCGTATCCTCTTCCATTTGGGCAAGCAGGTTTTCTTTATCATCAGTATTCTTCAAAATAAAATATTAAATATTAAATATGCCATTGAAACATGACATATTTTAATTTCCCTAAGTCTCAGGCTCTTAATGTAACTTCACAAATAATATTTACTGCTAAATGCAGAGCGTATCACTGGCCTAGGCTACAGGATTTTTAAGCATATCTTTGATAGTGTAAAGTGCTACTGACAGACTCTTCAAATGTGGTAAGAAATATCAAATTGTCCAGGCAGTAACAAATAGTGTGTCACTGACTCCAGAGAGAAAGAAAATAGTGGCTGTCTCAAAGTTCAGGTATTTGAAATAAAAAGAAAGGGAGAAAAAAAAAAAAGTATAAAAGAAAGGGAGGAAAGAAGTATCTATTATGTGTTTTTAACTTTAACTGCATTTCTTTATTCATAGTTTCTGGAATGATTACATCAAGATATTCCCTCACAAGCTTTTCATTTTGTTTTGTATCTGAAACCAGCATGGTTAGAGATCCAGTTAACTTCTGCTCTCATCTAGGTGTTTCAAGTTCAGACACAACTGTACTGTTACATGCTTATACAGTACATCCAGCAACGTTCATCCCACTACAAGCCTCTGTCACTTATGTTCTCATACACCTCAATTCAAACACCAGATGGACCTGCTTCCAATGGAAACTTGTTACACAACAGTTTAGTAGCAGATTTAAAACCAATCCTTCTACAACAGGAGTAATTTCAATGAGCAATAAAATTTCGAAGAGTCAGAACTGAATCCATATTTCATTAAAAAAAAATATTAAATTGTGAGCAGCTATTTTGCCTTAGCTGAATATCATTAGCTTCAGGAGAATAATTTTTAATTCCATTCTGAAGTGTAGTTTCACTTCTGAAGCATCAATGTTACCTCATGCACAAATTAAGCATTCGCTACAAATTCTTCCTCCAGAAAATACTACCTTGGCTTGCACAATCACTACAAAAACCTAACTACCTAGAACTCATCACTATAAAGGCTCCTTAAACAGTTTTTACCTTTTGAGAAGACTCAAGCTGTTCTTCCCAATCACATGCTTTCTGACGCAGCATCACCAAATGTGCATTTTGCTTTCTGAGATGGTTTTGAAACAAGGACATCTGCTGCTGGGCTTCTAGGACTTCATTTTTTCCAGGGCTTTTCCTCCTCAGAATCTCATTAACCTAAACACATAAAGGTACTCACAGTCAGAAGAAAGTTTATATCGGAATAATTCATACACAACTCTCACTGTGTACATAAAATGTACTGTATTCATTTACTACAGATTTACCTTATGTTTTTAATTCTCAGTGAGCACAGATCTCCCTAAAAAGCCAAACACTACTTACCAGAGTTTAGACACTACTACTTACTATAAAGATATAAATGTTAGATATTTCATCCCTTCGAAGGTTTCAAAACAAAGCAGGGCTTCCAACAGACGGGACATACTGCTAAGAAAACAATGAAAAAAACAAATCTTCTCTGCAAAGGATTTACTGCTCAATACTAAAGGTGTTTTTAATCTCGCCTCCTCCCCCCACACAATAAGAAAACATTTACTCCTGTGGGGGTAAAATAAAATGTATTTTTTTTTTTAATTTTCCTAAAGACTTTGCTTAAACTAAGATGGTAACATTTATGACAGCATTAATACTTGCATCAGTTACCAGAGTTGACGTGATTCCAGCAAACAACTTGCACCCTATTACTAGCCTTATTTATAATAATCCTGAAGTACTATTTAGAGGCTTTATTCTTGTCTTTCAAGAGCTTGTGGAACAAATGCCAACAATCACCTGTAATTTTCACTATTACCACATATTTTATCAATAACAATCAGAACTGTACATGGAAAGCAGTAAGTTTCATTCTTTTCCAAAATTTAATTTAGTAGAAGATTTATTTTCCAGGGCATGAGCAACTCCTTCAAGACAATCCCTGGACTTCAGTAAATTCCAGGTTTTTGGGTTTGGATTTTTGTTTGTTTGTTTTTAAAACCCCTTCTTATCCAGACATTTAAGACATGTAATCCCTCCCAGCAAAATTCTTATCTTGCATAGCTGAAATGGCAAGTATACACAAATATTACTCCTTGCCATATACAAGGGTCCTGAGACAACAAATATACAGATATTCAGAGGGAATAGCCACTAGAATACTGAGCATCACCAAAAAAAGAGTGAAGTATTTAAAAAACATTGTTTTATATAGGTGAAAGGCTGTAGTATATTTCAGTATCCAGGGATTAGATCCATCATCAACTTGTTGCAGTAAAGCAGGTTCCTGTGTGTCACCGGGGCTGCATCTTCAGAGTATTTTAAATTTCCTCCATTGAGGCAAGTCACATTACCTCAGTGTAGCAAGTACCTGTATAACAGCCGAGCTGTTAGTTGCCCACACACACACACTCAGGACTTTCTTTGTCAATGGCAAGCACAACTGATCCCATGTAAGCCTGTATCATTACAAAAACTCTGCATAGATTCCATATCACCAACAATAATTTAGCCCCTGTTAGGGAATTTTGCTCAACTGATGGACAAAGAGGTGTAATGACCTCACAAACATTACACAAGCAAGTAAACGGGAAACAACGACGTTTCTGGGTCTTCTCCCTAGCAGCTGGAGATAATGCCACCTTGCCCAGAACTCATTTTAGTGCTGCACTGCAGAGTGAACCATGAAGAACTATGTGAAAAGCTCAGTATGGTTTTATGTTCATATTCCAAACTTTTTCTTATTCGCTCTGTAAGGAAACAAAAATTGAAGGAGAGTAATACCTGGTGTAATGGAAGCTGTAACTCATGGCTCTGACCAGCTACACATGAAGCCTCTTCCTGTAGGTCATCCTGATCCTCCTCTGCTTGTTGAAGGCAGCTTGTTAACTTCCTGATGACTTCGTTCTCCTCTTGAACAGCAGTTTCCTACATGGATCACAAGAAGCTCACTTTTAAAATTAAAGCATTCTTAACATATTAGGAACTCAGCAAGATTCCTTAAAACAAAGCTGTTAAGAGTCTATTGTTACACTTAAGATTGAACGAATTTGTGGTAAAGGACCAGGAATGTTTGTGTTCAGGCATCACTGCAGAGGTGATTGATCTCAAAGAGACAACAAAGCTAATCAAAAGTGGTTTTTAAAACAAATTATAAAATACCAGTAATGCAGTAATAAATAAATATTTTTAATTTAAAAAGTTATAGCTCTTACTGATGTGAAAGCAATCAAGTTTTCTACAGGATATAATGAATACTTAGTACCACCTAAATTGTTTCCTACTTTTCAGCCATGTAAGAGAAAGCCAATGAGATTAATTAGTCCTATTTTATGTTAATGACATTAATCTTCTTAATTTATTTCTCAGCAACAAGAAAAGTCCTTGTTTCCCCAGTCCTAGAAGGAGAAAAACAACATGCAAAGGGGGAAGTCACCAGTCTTCAGAAGCAACTGATAATTTGCCTTTACACAGAAATGCTAAAGAGAGTGAATTGAAAATATCTTTTTCTTAGTATTTTGGGAGAGGGGAAGGTATATGTTAGTTTACTAAAGTTTAACTTATTCTGCTTAACCATTTGCCTATACAACGAAACCAAATTCCAAAACCAAAAATTCACAAGTATTCAAAAAGCATGAATAATACCAGGGGGGTGTGGAGGGTTGGGGGGAGAAGAAATCATCAGGAGGTGGTGGTAGCAGTGTCTACCATCCCATGGAAGCCTGGATGCACCCATAAAGTAGTTTTAAGGCATATCCACAGAAACATTGATATGTCAGTCAGTGCTTCCTTTTCAACAGTTTGAACACTACTTTGGGGAGGTGTTTCCTGAAAGGGAATGGTAAAAAAGCAGTCTTTCAGGTCTATGACAATAAAGGGCCAATCGAGAACTATCATCGCAGAAGAGGGAAGTCCAAGTTGCAAGGTACCCATGGGTTCAATGACCACATTTACCACTTGCAAGTCATGCAAGAGTCACCATTTACCACTGTAGGGACTAAATGAACCGAGGTGGTCGGTAGTCCGAGAACCATACAAGATACTGGGTCATCATCAGAACCATCTTCGTAGTGTTTTTCCAGTCAG